AGCCCCGCCGGAACTCGGAGGAGCAGCTGGGCCGAGGCGAGGAGGACGGCGAGGAGGAGATGGAGACCGGGAACGTGGCTAACCTTATCAGCATCTTCGGTTCCAGCTTCTCCGGACTCCTCCGGAAAAGCCCCGGGGGCGGCCGGGAGCAAGAAAAGGGAGAGGAGAGCGGCCCGGAAGCCGCCGAGCCCGGGCAGATCTGCTGTGATAAGCCGGTGCTGAGAGCCATGAACCCTTGGAGCACAGCCATCGTGGCCTTCTGAGCCGGCCCGGTGCGTGCGGGGAGGAGGTTGAGCAGCGGGCGTCCCGAAGGGAGGGCTGGGCCCCTCCCGGCGGCAGGGCCGCCCGAGGCCGCGGGCGCCGAGCGCGCTGGGACACTGCTTGCTGCCGGGCAGCATGGACTGCCCCCGGGCCGGGCAGCCCGAGGGCCGCGACTCTCGAGTCTCCTCTGGGGCCCGGGGAGTTCGAGGCTTATTGGAAGGGGACGGTCGTTAACTTTTGTGTTTGTGTGCGTCTGTGTGTGTAAGTTCGTCTCGTAAGACTATTTTTTTCCCTTCTGGAATGCACCACTCCTTCCCCGGGTTTAAGAGCCCGGGGGCAGACAGGGACTTTCCTCTGCCGGCAGCACTGAGAAGGAAGCGGCTAGAAGGCAGGGGCCTGGGAGTTCCCCGCGGGTTCTCCGGGGAGGGAGGGACTTTCACACACCCCTCCCTCACTTGAAGATTAGACCTGCACGGGGCCTGCCGGCTAGCGCTATCCTGGCTAGCGCTATCCTCGCTGGGTTCTCTAAATCAAGGGATTTGGTCAGCAGTAGAGACTCATTCTTTTCCTCCCACCTTTCTCTCCTACCGTTTATACCCTGTGATTACTCTGGGAAAGGGGAATATTAAGGGCCCTTCGCTTCCCCACAGGGGCGCGGGGAGGGAGGGGAAGCTTGATGAACTTCATAGAAGAGTTCAAGCTTGGAAATACGGAGTTTATAGAGAAAAGATATATTTTTAAAAGCTCTAGGTCAGAACTACACAGTGCTTTTAAAAAGTGTTTAATGAAACAAAGTTTACAGACAGAAGCCCCACGTGGAAAGACCTTATGGTTTTGTAGATAATGGTGACTCCAGTCTTTGTTGTATAAAGGTTGGGGGAGCTGATAAGGTTTTTGTACAGTATTTTCTCCTTCGTTGTATTGATTTTTTTGTATAAAATGTAACTTTACGTGTCTAACACGTATTAAATATTTTGAAGCAACTTCATGGCCTCCTTGTCTGTAATCACCTGCCTGGGTTGTGGGTGGCGATGGAAGCGGGAGGAGGGGCTAAGTGGGAGGAGGGACTACAGCGTGGGCTAGGAAACTGAAAGCATGCTTCTTGGTATCAGTCATTCATGGACTGAGGACAGTGTGCACTGACCTCACCAAGCATCAGGAGACACATTTAAGCTGCTCCCCTCAGTCCGACTGCTATTAGATAGTAATACTACTAATGTCGGTGATCTGCCAGTTTCTTGAAACCTTCCACTATAACTGTCTTTCCTAACGTCTGTTTAGGCCAGTCTAGTTTTCTACAGCCCACTCTGATGGTATCTTTAATATTAAGTCTCGAAGCACCAACTTTTGGAGCCCTAGCCATCTACAAAAATGTTTTTCACCAAAACTTTAGTCCTATTAAGCTATATAATTTGGGCCAGCTTTTAGCTTAGTAATGGGGGGGGGGAGGTTTAGATAGTAACCTACTTTAGATATGGAAAGCTGAAGTTGACATCCCAATGGTCAGGTCCACTTAGGCATTCCAGTGAACGGCTGGATGGAAATTCTGTTTTTTAAAAATTATATCTACATGCATTGGCACAAGAGAAATTGCATGTGTCAAATCAGATAAGGAAGGAGGCCAAGGAGAGCTGGGCAAATGTAATTCTCATTTAGTAAAGCTTCCTGATTTGCTTTTGTCACCCATATGGTGACATCAGTGTTTTGGTCATGGTAAACACATAGGTGATGACAGCTAAGTCCTTTGTTGATTTTTCTAAAATACAGTATTTAAATGAGAGCATTTTGATTAAAGCAAAATGTCCAATATTTGAAAGATATTTGGTAATCTTTTTCAGAAGAGAACCAATTAGAGAATGACATCTTAAAATACTATTGCCAGCACTTAATAAAACATGGTACTGGTCTTGAACAACTAATGAGTAAGTAGGTGTTTAAAAGATGGGAGAAATTTAAGAATGGGATAAACACTTAAATGAAAAGTTAGGGCCTTTGAGCAGAAGGAGCATGTAAGTAGTGCCTTCGTTATTTTAAAATCCCTATTAATTGAATGCCTGGCATAGCTGAGTAGGCCGGTGTTTTGATATTTTTGCAAATCTTGGTGGTTCCTTAAGCATAGGACACTTTCTCCTTTAAGCTCTATCACTGTATGGGAATATGCATAGAACTGAACAGTCTCTAATCAGTGTCTTGTTAAATTGACTTGTTTTTCCTTGAGATGAGCTACTTAAATTCTGTTACAGCTGCCAAAGATCCATTGAGTGCTGACTGAAGAAGGTGTCCAGGGCCTTAATTCTGCAAACATTTCCTGTTGCTAGAAAGTAATTATGCTTGAATAGCTATCTCAATGCATTTTTATTTTTGAAAGTGGGTAGCATTTGGTGTGTTTAAGAGATCTAATATGTTTTGGATGAGACTAAAGTTCCTGTTGATCCTTGATTTCACATTAAGCTTAACCACGGGACTGTGCGTCTGCTTAATGTAGAGGATGTATGTTGGTGTATTTGACGGAGGGGCAGAGCTTTGTAGAAAATTAGAAAAAGATCATTATCTTTTTTGTTACAGAATTGTTGCAGGAGCAGTATAGAATAATGGTTAGGGGACCGGCAGTTAGCATAATGGCTATGTCGCTGGACTCCCATGTAGTCGACTGCAGTTCATGTCCTGGACCCGGTGACTTAAAACTCACACTGGGCGCATGTGCGTGCGTGCCCAAGATCCCGGGAGGAGAATGGAGGAGAAGGGATTGTGGTGTGGCCATCCCCCCTGGTGGGTGATTTCTCGCTTTCTGTCTCTCTGTCTCTCTCTGTCTGGTGAACGCACACGCCCTATAGCAACCCCCCCCCAAAAAAGAATAATGGTTAGAACATGGACTCTGGCGGCACACTGCCCAGGTTTTTTATTTTGGCCCTGCCACCCGGCTGTGGGACCCTTGACAAGGTAATTCATTTCTGTATTCCTCAGTTTTTTAAATGTGAAATTGGGATAATCATGCCTACCTCATAGGGTTATGAAAATTAATGAGTATTTGCTCTTAGTAAAGTACCTCATACAAAGTAAGCACTCAAATGTTATTTCTTCGTTGAGCAAGAGACAGAGAGATAGCACCCCAGCAGGTCCTACCACTGCGATCTGATCTACCTCCTGTCTCAGCCAGCTGGGGCCATCGGCCGTGCATTCTCTGGGAGGTCTCCTGATATGAACCTGGAACCTTTTTGTGTGGGTCAGCCTTTACAGAACATCAGGTTTCACTGCTGTGCTACTGTCAGTCCCCTCAATTGTTAGTTATGTTGATGCAGAAGGGGGTTCTGTGTATAAATCAGACTGCAAAGAATTGTATTTGTAAGAAAGGGGGAAGAGAGAATCTATTTTTAAATTGTCCTATCTGTGACTGCTGAGTTCTTTCATTCTTCTGTTTATCTCTAGACACTTGGCAGTCATGAAGCTTTGTTCCACCAGCATGGTTGTATTGTTCTGTATGTCTCACACCAATCCCGACCTTCCCGATTGTATCAAACAACTCTCTTTTCAGGGAGGAGTAAACAGGAGTGAAAACTCATAAGGAGCAAAGTTGTTGATATACATATGCTTTCTGTGGATAAGTAAAGAAAAAAAAATAGGACAGAGAGTTATTTTTAGCCTGAATTGCTTGAACTAAGGATCCTTCTTAAGTCATGTTCACTGGTAAGTCCTGGACAAGAGCCCTCCTGATGCCAAGACAGGGTTATCCCAACTATATCAGAAGCAGCTTGGCTAGACACCAAGCCATTCTTTTAGTAGCTAACCATTTCTTGACTCTGGGAGGGGGCATGGTCTCTTATTAAATTACATTTAGCTCTAGTCTGGAGAGTTTGCTGACTGCCTTGTAAAAGCCAGATGTTTAAAGTGCTTTTTGTCAAGTATTCCAAGATGATCATATTAAGGGGGAGCAAAGGTGATAACTTTTAGTATGTAGTACTTCTCAACCAAGTCACTTTCAACTTGTCTTCCCTTTCAAAAACTATCAGCTGTACTTGGGAGAAAGAACTAGTGATGGAAAGTCAGACTGCTCCTCTAAGTAACTGTTTTCTCTATGTACCTAATAGCCCTTTCATTCATCACTGATTGGATTTTGCAGATGATAAGTGGGAGGGATTGAGTCCTGCTCCCCAGAATAAAGATGTGGCAAATATTGAGAATGAAGTTAATGATGACAGCTCTATTTTATCACTGGGTTAGTCTGAGTCTCTTTTCAGCTTGCTAGACATGACAGTCTAGCTTAGAGCCTGTGTGATGAGATCACAAGGCCAATGCCCACTGTGACATGGCATTTGATGGACAGTTATTTCCTTATACTCATTTTTTAAGTAGAGTTAGTTCAGTTCACTGAATAACCAAAGGATTTCTGATCCCTTGCCCTAAATATTTTATTCTTGTCCTGTTTGTGAATTTTTTTATTCTTCTAGCTTCTCTTTTATCCCAGCAGTTCCAGAAAGAAGACAGGAATGAAAAGAAACGCTGACCCAACCTTCCTGTGACTATGAAAGGAGCCATTACTGGGAGGTGCAGTGCTGCGGTGGGGAGTGAGGTCTGCTTCCCGGGATTCCTGGCACTCTTTCAAGCACTGAGCAGTTTGTCTCTCATCATTTT